GAGGGTTTCAATGACCTGACCTGTTGTGTCGTTGTAGTGCCACTATTTGTCCTTTTTGAAGGGGGTTTAAGGTGTGCGCTGTTCTATTATATCACTCTATGAGACGAGCGTTCCGAGGGGACAGACTTATCTCGCGATTTTGGGCTGCGGTTATCCAACTCGCGTGTGGCTTATAGAGTGTGGGGTGGGATGGTATGTAGTCACGTAGTCGGCGGTGGAGTAGTAGTTGAGCAGGGGATAGCTCGATGTTTTGAATGGGCGTATTCCTGTATTGGAGGATGGCTCTTGCTGCACGGTTATTGTCCAACGATCCTTGGGCTCCTGTGTTGCCATTTACGATTCTCTTGGCCATTTTGACAGATTAATTTTTTACCATATCGGAGTCATTTTCACGCCTAATTATTTCTTAGCCAAGGTTCTGGTTGAGGTGAGATGATGTGAGGCGACACCCCAAAACAATTTTTTTCGGACACCTGTCGATTTTTATTTTCTATTTCACCGGTAAAAAGCAAATTTTTTTTTTCGATTTTTATCTACATATCGGGTAAATTCTGACATTGAATTCCTGTATTTTTCATTACTTGAAATCATGACGAAAATTATCAAAGAAACCAGATTGCTGATCGTGAAAATGGCCAAGAATAAGAACCAGCGATTAATCGCTAAAGATCATGGAATGGTAATAAGCTTCGGAAGTGTTTTGAATCGTCAAAACTATGGTCACCATTGAATGTTGCACTATAGGGTATCACGGAAAATGATTAACCCTAACCCCTGCTGAGAAGTCTATGAAAGAAAACTGATAGGCAAGTAATGGATGAATGCAATTGGTACAATTTGGTGTTAATAAATAACACTAAGTGCATCGTTCAAGAACCATGAAGAGATTTAATTCAATGAAGTTGGTTTTTCAATTTTGTTTAGCGTCATATCAATCTACATGGCTTATTTAATGACGAAATCTAAATATTTTGAACACAATTTATGGCTTCAACAAAATATATTTTCAGAGCAAATGTCTTCAACTACAGATAAAATATACTGTTGGTCATTTTGTCATAGAATGTATCGTTGGTATTTTTCATATAAAAATATATTACTGGTATTTTCACTATAAAAATGTATTTTTATACTTCCATAGTGTTTTGTTTGGGGTCCACTATTTGTCCATAGCTGAGACCCTAGTTACCACAATGAAGAGGTGATTCCACACTCGTCAAAATCTCCAATCTCTCGATCAGCGGTCTTGCTGCCGGATGTAGTTTATCGTCATATCCAGGACCAAATTCTACGAAGAAAAAAAGCATCTGAAAGCCACAAGTTTGTCTAAGTAATATGAATTGTGGGATGCAGATGCTTTGGGTAAGACCAGATTGAGCGATGGAACGAAGATGGAGACGCATTCTAATACATGTGAATTTGTCAGAAGGCCGACAGGAAGGAGAAATGACCCACGCTATTTACATTAATCGGACTATTGTCCTCATCTTTGTTGCCATATTTATCACGTTTCGGGCGTTGTACGCTCCGGCCTTTTTCAGGTGGTTAGAATGTTAAACTGAACCCTTTATTTCGCTCGCTGGGGTAGACTGTTCTAGTTCCACGTGCCATGTCTAATGGATGTCAGCTATCAGTTATCTCCTGTTAATTCACCTCTCCAAGCTCTTCACTTCCTTAACCAACTATTGAACTCACACTCTTGGGGTCCTGTCACTGGATCTAACAAACAAAGATGAGGACAATAGTCTGATTAATGTAAATAGTGTACATAATACCTCATCTCAGAAATATAGAGAGATACTGAAATGACCCACGTTACAAAACGGGAACAATGAGATTTTGGGCGTAGGAATCTGATGCTTGGGTCGCATAAAAAGGGTTGGATAAAGAAAATTGGTTAAAATTGACGATACCTTGAAAAGTACCAAATCCTACTGCTGATGGGACATTTGATACCAGACTAGGTTGAAAGCGAGATTTTTTAGCAATATTGCATGCAGCACAACAGAGAGATTTTCCTTAGAACTGTAGAACAGATCCCCAAGCGGATGCTTCCAAGACCATTACAATGTTAACCTCTTCAAGTACAGAATGAACCGATATCTATTCTAAATACCCTCATAATATGTTCATCTTGTTGCTTCTTCCTTTACCCTTGCAACAATCTTACTTAGTAACTCTCTACCCAAGTGGCTCTTGGGCGTTTTATTTGATGAACTAAAGTATAAAAGACAAAAATACCTCTCTTTTCACAATTATCCACTCAAGTAAGAAACTGTTCCCAACTCACTCTCACTTTTATTCCCCCGCTTTTTATTAATTCTTAAAGCTTATTTTACTTTATACTACTGCCTGAAAACCATACCATGGGTTGATCCAAGCCTTGTGAGTGAAAGTGGATAGACGGAACCGTTGAGGGCCGTCGATAGCTGTGCTAGCACGAAGTCACAAGTCATCGATGACGTGTTGATCCCGCTAGATAGCACGCTCTTTCCCAGAAACTGTAACTGAGGTCTGCTTAGCATAGTTGCATTATAAGCCATAAATACAAATGAGCCTGAACACGCGTCTGCAATAGCGATTGGCTAGCCGCCCTTGTAGAAGAATATCCTCGAATAAGAGTGATCAGTTATACTGTTTACTCCCTTAGCTTCTCCTTTTCTACTCTCTTTCCCTTACCGACATGTTTTTACTTACTCTCTTCCTTTCTTCTTAATCTCCACGATTTACTCTTCTCTTTATGTCTTCTTTCTCCACATATGTTTATTCTCTCTCTCTCTCTCTCTCTCTCTCTCTCTCTCTCTCTCTCTGTTGCTTTACACTCCACGATTTACTTACTCTCCTCTCTTCTTCTTGCTCTTTCTTTTCTTCACTCCCCTCAGTTACTCTCCTTGTTTCTTATAACTCTCATTTCTACGTTTTACTTGCTCTCCCCGCTTCCCACACTTACTTACTCTCTTCTCCTATCTTCTCCACCATTTCCAAATGCGCGCAATCCCTTTTATAATTTAGTCTTGTTCGAGGTATCAAAAGTGAAGTGCACACGTGTTACTTAGTTGGTAGGTAAATATTATTCTTCAGCCGTGCTTTTATTCCCGAATAGAAATGATTATATCTTACGGTGTCTATGTGGCAGATGTTACATTGAGCACACCAGGACACACAGAAAAAGCTAATTATTTATCTATATATCAATTTCGAAATTTTCAAATCTAGCTTCAGACATACACAAACACGCAAAGAAATACACAAATGCACTTCACAAACATACACATTGACGTATACACATACACATGTACACATACACATATACACATACATGGCATACACATGACATATACACATACACACTGACATAATAGAAGTATATCTTCTGTGATTTTAACGATGAATTATTGCTAATACTTTTTTTTAAATAATAAAGTCTTTTGTTGTGATTAAAATGAATAATGCAGAACTCTATAAACATAAATAATAACATGTGCTAAATGCATATTCAGGGAATTAAATATGGATAAATAGATAGATAGAGAGATGGGCATGAATAAACTTAGATGAAGAGAGATAGATAGGAATAAACTTAGATAGATAGATAGATAGATAGATAGATAGATAGATAGATAGATAGATAGATAGATAGATAGATAATGAAGAGATTGGGATAGATAGATAGATAGATAGATAGATAGATAGATAGATAGATAGATAGATAGATAGATAGATAGATAATGAAGAGATTGGGATAGATAGATAGATAATGAAGAGATTGGGATAGATAGATAGATAGATAGATAGATAGATAGATAGATAGATAGATAGATAGATAGATCACACTCCTCCTCGGTCATGAACAAGAGTAGAGGTTTATTCCTTGTTTCCTGTTTATGATTGGTTTTCCGGTTCCTTCTAAAGTCTGCTTGAGCTCTATACTTCTAATGCTTGTCCTTTTCTACGCTAATATAAGCCCCACACAGTAACCCTCTACCTCGAGTGGCTCTTAGGCCTGGTATTGTGTGAACATTAGTAAAAAAAAAATAGAAGAAAAAAGATAGATAGATAGATAGATAGATAGATAGATAGATAGATAGATAGATTTTGGGAAATTATCTAAAATCGTTGAACTAGTTTCAAGCAAAATAGTTCTTACTAAACAATGCTTCACGGTCCTGCAGACCAGTGAAGGATTTATAGTGATCAAGACGTTTACTTGAGAATAAACAATGTTATATGAGTGTAATATTTCAAAACATTCACAGTCAAGTACTGAAATTAATTTGCCTCAGTTTTTTTGTTTTTTTTTATGTTAGTCGTTTTGATGTGTGACTTCCACTTAAGGGATAAAAATATGACAGTTAATGAAAGGCAGAAATTTTTACCGGAACCTTCAATGCAAGGGATCAAGCGAAATGTACCACTGTTAGCTATAGCAGACTATTTTGTTTTTGTTTTTGTTTTTAGCGAAATTTTTGTTGGAATTGGAATGATGTCCTCTATTGGTCTATTAGATCACCTAAAGGACATAATGAGACATAGGGACATGTCACATTGAAACACCGGTTCTCGAACAATCACCGAAGTTAAGCAACGACAAGCCTGGTCAGAGCCTAGATAAGTGACCGCTTGGTAATACCAGGTGCTATAAGCATGGATGTGCGGGTAGTTTAGTAGATTACGAATCGGAATTGGAAATCGGAGAGCCGCGTTCCAATTCCAGTCGGGCTCGTCGCGCGCAAAAAGCCCTGTGAAAGGTATAAAGCTACCTCTTTCTCCCCGCTATGGGTTAATTAGTAGAATTTGTATTCGAAAATCATTATTATTTTCCAAGAATTCTTACAATCTCAAAATAGTTTTTGGCTTTAAATAATCTGCAAAAGGTTGATAAGCCGTAATAAATCAATCAATAAATCAATGAATAACGGCAACTATGAACGAAAATTTTCTGGAATTAATTAAGAGAACAGGTGTAATATTCCATGGGTATAAGGGTAAAGTATTGTTTGCTAACGACCAGGTAGAAATGGTTACAATTTAACTTGGAAATTGTCATTGGGATTTTGATTTGTTTTAGCGTTTATGGAATGTTCAATTTCCTGGAAGTCTTGGAGTAACTCATAAAAGTAAAAGTGTTATGGGGTCCTCCCCTTTTCATATAAGTGGACTCTACCAGTGTTACTTGGAGTGCTGCCGTTAAATACCCAGAGTTAGACAGTGAGGGGTAGTCGGAAAGACAGAGAGAATATACGAACGGAGATAGTGTGAGGTAACCTCTTGTAGAAGTCAGTTACAAGTACGTAGACTCTAAGGAAGTCCTACTTCGAGACTGTATATATCTATCTGTATTTGCTACTAACCGCATTCCTGGACTTACTAACAGTATTACTCTTTGTATGATTGTGTAAATACATGTTATTTCTTATATTTAATTATTGCGTTTGTCATTCCTTGGAGACTGAATTCATCTTGGAATCCACAACAAAAAGGAATGAGACGTTCCGGCGAATCCCATTTGGCATCGCTGATTCGGCAGAGGAACTATTAGGTGTCAGATTACTACTTCGTCGTTATAGTCAATTATTTTTCTCTTTTCCTCTTTCTCTTTTCCTCTTCCTCTTTTTCTTTTTCACATTTTCTCTTTTTTCTCTCCCCCCACTCTCTCTCTCTCACGTTTAGTAGTCAAATTAGTACTTCGTCTTTCCCTGGTTGAAATTGCCAAAGACATAAGTTGTTAAATCTGAAAGAAAAAGAAAAAAAATATTAGACGCTTAAACTTAATTCACATTTAAAATCGGTTCAAGTTATTGGAACACCCTTTATATCTAACCCAAAACTCACAATTTTTACTAAGTATTACTGTCTCTCATATTTCCAACACCATATAACAACGAAATAATAAATAACACACGTTTTATTGTTTCCACATCTTGCTGTTTCTCATTTTCACGATTATTTTTGTATATATATATATATATATATATATATATATATATATATCTTTTTAATTTCTAGGTTTGATGATGAATTGGATCGTGATTACGATTCCAATGTAATAAATTATAACCATGGAATATTAGTGTTTGGACATTGAGTTCTACCTGGATTCTATCCTCTTGGGTATATATATATATATATATATATATATATATATATATATATATATATTGACCACTAATATTATCAATCTATATATATATGTGTGTGTGTGTATGTTAGAGGGTTTATAATTATTTACTCAGAATTATAATTCCCCTAAATGTCTGAAAACTTCAAAACAGAAATACTGTATGCAGAAGTGATGTCACAAATGCTAGTGTTTTTTAATCATTTCAAAATATAATCTTTTTTTTTTTTTTTTCCTTATTTAAAATTGCATAAAAGCTGCCGATGGTGTCCTCCACTCGATAACTAATCACTTCTTGTATATTATAATTATTTGAAAATGTTAATGATCACTATGCTTCAAGGATTCACAAACATGCAGAAAAAAATTTTTTTCTAGCCATCGTAGGCGCCCATAGTAAGTAAGGCTTAATCTAGAATAATACCAAAATAGATAAACTGGATATTCGTAAGGATCGCCCTAATCGGTGAAGCCATTTTGAAGCCAACATAAACCCTCTATGAACATTCAGTCTTTTAGTTAAATACCACACGTGATAAAGGCATGGACGATCATGTCGCTATGGATTACTGACTAACTAGACAGAAGATTTTCCCGCAATAAGTACCGTTTCTTTCTCCGGTAGACAAGTTGCCACGCAAGGCTATAGAACAGTTTGTCCCGCTATTTAACCCAAAGCTTAGATGGATTCATACCTTACCCAAAGGTATTGCGCGTAAATGAAGGTAACGAACCCGACTGGAATTTGAACTCGGCCCTCAGACTTCTCATTCTCGTTATCCATTACACCGCCACGCATGTCTAAACATTACTAAGCAGAATGTGCTTCTCCAGGGAATTCAGAGTTTTTCTTCCAGTAAAAAGGCAACCGCGGTAATAAGAGCTCACTGTGCTCTAGTATTTAACCCACAGTTGGGGAGCGAGAGAAGATTGTGAAGATGAAAATCGTCATATGTGAAAGTGAATGTAACGGCCTCGACCGAAATACGAACTCTGCTAGCTGTTTTCTCTTTCCAAGTCGATAAACAGATCACTGGCTGCACACCCTTGAGCGTCCAGTAAATAATAATAATAATAATAATAATAATAATAATAAAGATGATGGCAAATATAGCAATAGTGAGGTGATTATAAAAGTGAATTATTATTATTATCATTATTATCAAAAACTTCCTTTCAGTAGATTTTCTGCTTAGAATAGAAATCAAACTAAGAAAAGGTGGAATGAAAAGGGTAGAAATAAGGAAATATTCAGTGGACAAACAAAGTATGGATAATCAGAAAGAGTCACTTTGGCCTGAAATGTTTGTTCTGGCATTTACTCTCTGTTTGTTTTTCTATCTTTTGTTAACATTGTTACCCAAGGCATATAAAATAAACACGCCCACTGTAACCAGTAAGAATTCATTTAAAGAAGTTGTATTAAATTCAACCGATAAGATCTGTTTGTTTCATTTTTTTTTTTTTTACCGTTTTTATATGACTATAAACTACATCCGCGTTCTGGGTAAGACAATAAACTACATCCGACGACAAGACCTCTGATCAGGACGTTTTAAGCAGCGTGGAACCACCTCTTAATTGCTGGTATTCCCAGATTCACTCTGACCCAGGGTAGTAGCACCTGTTAGTGTCCCAGCTATGGGCAAATAGTTGACCCTCAAACTGGGGTCAAAAGACCATGAAAGTGTAAAAATAGGTTTTAGTACCAGCAATACATTTTTGGAAAAAATTAATAGCAATGAATTTTTGAAGAAAAAAATTATTAACAGCAATACATTTTTGAAAAAAAAATATTACCATATCGGCATTAAATAACCCATTGAGGTGTTGATATGCCGTAATCCTATCCTATCCTATCCTTAGGTGCCTGGGCTTACGGCTACATAACATTGCAACATCGGTTTCTGTACGATCACCAAAGTTAAGCAACGTTGAGCCTGGTCATTACTTAAATGGGTGACCGTTTGGGGCAATACCAGGTGCTGTAAGACTGGACGCGCGGATGGTCTAATGGGTAATGCCTCGGAATTGTTAATCGGGGAGGCAAGTTTCACTTCTTGTTGTGTGCGTTATATTCACTTACGCATAAATATCCTTGGGAAAGATATAAATCCGCCTCTCCTCTCCCCCCCCAGCTATGGATTAATTTATAAAACTTGTATCATTAAATCATTATTATCTCCCCCGAACCCAAATAAACTCTTACAATCTAAAATACTTTCTGCCTTTAAACAACCTGCAAAAGGTTGCTAAGCCGTCGAAAATGAATGGATCAAATCAAATCTTAAATGCCTAATAATGATGGTAATTTATTTATTTATTTTATTTTTTTTGGAGGAACTTTTCCGGCTCCCTCAAATTTATTAACACTATTCCGTTTATTAATTTTTGACCCACTTTAAATTTTAATTTTCCGAACATGCTTAATAAAATTCGACTATTAAGGTCTATTTCTTGTATTAGGCATCTAAGAGTAGATGAAGTAAATCTCACCAAAGCTCATCAACAATTTTGAGCAATATGTCAGTTGTACCATGCGTGATACACGCTTAGGCGATCATGTATCTTTCGATAAATGACTAACGAGGCAGATTTTTTTCCCGCAGTAGGTTGCCATTTCTTTCTGCGGGAGACGAGTTGACATCCAAAGCTATAGAATCTGGTCTGTCCTGCTATTTACCCATAGCTGATGTGGGGAGAAGAAGAGAATTTTACTTTTCCCAAGGGTATTAGCGCGTAAGTGAATGTAATGGATCCGACTGGAATTCGAACTCGGCTCTCCGATTCCTCAATCCGAACCGCTATCCATTACTCCACCGTTCCTCTTAAAAGAATCTTGAACTGAAATATTAATAATGATGACACATCAACGCAAAATTTAGACAGAACTTTTATTTATATATATATATATATATATATATATATATATATATATATATATATATATATATATATATATATATATATATATATATATATATATATATATATATATATATATATATATATATATATATTTTATATTTCTTGAGGCTTCATCATTTTTATATATATATATATATATATACCATAAGATCCATTTAGGTAATTTCTGGCTCACTAGAATTTTTTATACTCAGCTCTACTTTTTTGGGGGTTTTTTTCCTCATTTTACTGGATTGTTTTTTTTATCTTTGGAGTAGAAATTACGATGGTCGATTTTTTTCGGTTTACTCGGATGTTTTTAGTCTTTTCTTTTTTTTTTTTTTCAAATTTTTTCCCCAGATACCAATTTGTTTGAATATATTTTTATTTGCAAATTGTACTATCCGTTTTTGTTTTTTTTTTTTTTTGAGCTCTTCGGGGGAAAAGTGAATTTGTAAACAGTGACTATTACTGCTGCTGATGCAAGACTCTTCGTTAAGACGAATCGAGTTCTCCAGTCACTGACGTGTTTGTCTAAAAATAAATACGTCTAAATTCACCTTCATCCCTGCCGTGCGCCAAGTTAAATCTCCGACTGATACCAAATCAGTGGGGTTTCGATCCCGGCTTCAGGCAATCGGATGTCTAGCCACACTGATGAGCTGTGAAACAGCGAAACAGTCTGTCTGTGAATTACAATATATATATATATATATTTATATATAAATGTGTGTGTGTGTGTGTGTGTGTGTGTGTGTGTGTGTGTGTGTGTGTGTAAATATATAGAAAATAGGAAAGAACTCGTTAGGTAAATAATCCAAAGTTCTTTAGTATTTTTGTTATTATTTTTAACAGTGCTCGATACAAAAGTAGAGCCTAAATGTAATTATTTATTTAAAAATATGATTCCATCGCTACATAAGAAAAAGATAATGTAGCGATGGAATCATATTTTTAAATAAATAATTATATATATATATATATATATATATATATATATATATATATATATATTTGTGCATTTAGACAGCAATCCATCTTTCATGCACATTTTATTGAATACGAGACAAGGTGCTTTGATTTAGTTTTTTATACAATTTTTCATGTGATCTAATAATTGTTTTCTTTTCGGATGATAAATTATAAAAAAACTGTCCAATTGTTCTTTTTATCCGTGCGCTTTCGGCTATACATTTAGCCATTTTCAAGGTTGAAATATATTAAGCTCAATTAGGTCTCATTTAAATACTCATGGAGATCTACCGGACCCTATTCTTAACATACTTGTTGAGAACACAGATATAATAGAATCATCTACAAGCAAAACATAGCTGAAAATAATGGAAGCCTTATTAATGAAAACAAAAACCAACACTCAATAATATCAACTATGAACATGGACACAATATCTTGACCGTGTTTTGAAAATGAAACATTATATAAATACAAGCATACAACAAACTATTTCTTCTTAACAGTTATAATATTTCAACCTTGAGAATGGCTAATAATATAGCCGAAAGCGCTCTGACAAAAAGAACAATTGGACAGTTTTTATATAATTTATAAAAAAAAAAAGAAAAAGTTATTAGATTACATGAGAAATTGTATAAAAACTAAATCAAAGCACCTTGTCTGTCGTATTCAGTGATATATATAAATATATATATATGTGTGTGTGTGTGTGTGTGTTGATTGATTGGTTGCTTGCTTGATTGATTCATTGATATATATATATTGTGTGTGTAAGTGTGTTAAGAAATAAAGTAAGTAAATGATAAGATAAAAGAGAAGAAAAAACCGTTTCTATAGAAAAAAAATGGAGTGTCAAGGGAAGAAGGAAAGATATTTTATCCAAGAACAAAGGCATGTAGGAAATGAAAGAATTTTCTTTTTTAAGCCTAACATGAAGATAAAGAAATAAGAAGGAAAATAACAAAATAATAAAAGAAAGAAAGAAAGAAAATTACAGATTGATTGTATAAAAAGAAAATGGGGAAAACAGACGACAATTCGTGATCCTTGTAAAGAATGTTTCTTTCAGTGGCTAAGCTCGTCACTTCCCACGACACCATCTTGTCTCTCTCTTCAGCTGACCTTTTGTGATGGAAAAGAATTATTTACAATTTTCCTTAACTGACAAAGAAAACAAAAACTACAGGTGAATTTATTTTCAGTATCCTAACTGGAGCCAATAACTAAACTGAAATAAATCGTGTATTCCCCCTGTATGCATATATCTATGAATGTGTGCTTGTTTGCATTTGTATATAGTGCTTGTTTGCATTTGTATATATATATATATATATATATTATATATATATATATATATATATATATATATATATATTAGTTTGTTAGGGAAGTTATATAGCAATTTTATAGACGAAATGAAGAGTTAAAATATAACAAAAGTTAAATTTATTTATCAATGATGTAAACATTATGAGAAGCCAAGATAAAAAAAAAAAAAAAAACACCATGAAATCAGTTCTTTCATTTCTTGTTTAAAAACGTGGATTTGTGGGCTAAAAGTATTCTGATCACGCCAAAATATCTTCCCTACCTATTTTAAAAATTTTGATTCTAAGAAAATACATTATTGATGTAATTATATGGAAATGTGAGCCTATGAAACTGGCTTAGATAGAAGTATTTTGTAAAACATCTCAACTTAAATTTAACTTTTCATGAATTCATTTTACTTAGCGTTGACCTACATTGTCCTTTTAGGAATCGTACAACTTCTGTTCACCAAAAATGTCAGGTGTAAATCTATTTTTCTTTTTTTCGTTTTTTTTAGCTTCCTTTTAGTTTTTTTTTTTATAAGGAATATATATGGTATGTGATTGTCTTATTTAAATTGTGCCGGTTCAAATGACCTTTGTGTCATTAGATGGCATTAGGAGCGTTTAGTTTTAACAAACAATATGAAAAAATATCATTTTTTATTGCACTGCACTATGCACTGAAATAGAAGTTTTAAAATAAGGTATATTTTTGTTTGGTGGAATGAAATAATCACCTTTTGGCATTCCGCTTTTGTAAATTTTAAGAAGGGTAAAAAAAAATGCCCAAAAAGCAAAAATGGTCAAATTTACGACCTGAAATCAGTGTTAGATTTTTTTTTATATGGATTTTTTTTTGTCAGTCCACAAGTGAAGATCCAGCTTGCAACTCACATGTAATGGCCAACTAACCTCTTAAATTCTCCTCCCATGCCAAAATATTCATTGGGGAAAGTAATGCTTGAAAATATCAGGAAACGTTTTGTGCTGGATATCTCTTGCAAAACGAAGCTCTGTCTTCAGGTTGTTAAAATTACTAGCACCGCATTTCGATCATTAAAATCGCTAGAATTATATTTATATGGTAAATATCGTCAGTATAACATTTCTATCACTAAATGCGATAGTAATTATTAAAATTGCAAATATTCCATTTCTACCTTTAATGTCGCTAAAATTGCATTTCTATCTTTTAAAACACTAGCATTGCATTTCTATCGTTAAATTCGCTAGCACTGCACCTCTGTCTTTAAAATCGTTAATATTGTATTTCCATAATTAAATACACTAGCATTCCATTTCTATCGTTAAATTCGCTAAAATTTCATTTCTATCATTTAAAACACTAGCATTGCATTTCTATCGTTAAAATCGTAAACATTGCAATTCTATCACTCTGTATTTCTCTCGTATGATCGCGAATGAAGCCTTCCATACGAAGAAACAGGCAGAATTTGTGTATATATGTGTGTGTGTGTGTAGAAAGAAAAAGGATAGATATAGAGATAGATAAAGAGAGAAAATATATGAATAAACTGACAACTCTTAGATTGATAGAGATAATTAGATTATATGAACAAACTGAGAGACCGACGCACAGACAGCAGACAGATAGATAGATAGATAGATAGATAGATAGATAGATAGATAGATAGATAGATAGATAGAATATATGATCAGAGAGCTACCGACACACTGACAACAGTTAAATTGATATATAGATAGATTATATGAACAAAGTGAGAGAGACTGACGCACAGACGATAGATAGATAGATAGATGTGAACAGACTGAGATAGATAGATAGATAGATAGATAGATAGATAGATAGATAGATAGATAGATAGATAGATATGACCTGACAAAACTAGTTTAACAAATACACAAATATGGCATATTTCTGCATACTGCATCCGGATGCAACGTAACAGACTGTAAATATTTTGTATACTTGAATGTAATTTAGAAATTTTCTTTTCTGACGATTGTCAGTCAGACAATTCTTTGTACTGTTACAATCCCCGATAATCTATACTTTGCCGTCTACACTTGGTCAATTACAAAAATCTTGATCTCTATCTTTCATTATTGTTAACCATTTACTTACTGCTTTCATGTATTTATTGTTTGTCAATTGTTTTCTTTTCCGCTCTTTGGTGTCGAAATTTTCAAGCGATTTATCTTGAACACGACGTGACAGCTGTCGCGGTTATATTGGCGTAAATAAAGAGGACATTATTATCCGAATTTCACAGTCCAACTCTATATCACTCTACCAATCTATAATAATTCAGTCAGTTATGTGCCATGCGTGATACACGCTTAGGCGATCATGTATCTTTCGATACATCACTGACGAGGCAGATTTTTTTCCCGCAGTAGGTTGCCATTTCTTTCTGCGGTAGACCAGTTGCCATCCAAGGCTATAGAACTCGGTCTATCCTGCTATTTACCCATAGCTGGGGGGGGGAAGAAGGATTCATACCTTTCCCAAAGGTATTAGCTCATCAGTTAGTCAGTTATATGCTATGCGTAATACACGCTTAGGCGATCATGTATCTTTCGATACATGACTGACGAGGCAGATTTTTTCCCACAGTAGGTTGCCATTTCTTTCTGAGGTAGACCAGTTGCCATCCAATGTTATAGAACCCGGTGTTATTTACCCGTCGAGGGGAGAAGACGAGGATTCATACCTTTCCCAAGGGTACTAGCACGTATGTGAAAGGATTTGTCTGAAATTCGAATTCTTAAATCCGAGCTGCTATCCATTACCCCACCAATTGATATTGTTGAAGCTTGGATAAGCATGGAATAATAATAATACAACACAAAATGTAGGTAAACAAAATGTATTGAAACAAGGAAAAGGTACACAATATTTACAGTTAGTTTTGGTATATTCTTGGGAAGACTGTTCCTGTAGAATGGGTTGACTTAATCGCAGTCGGGCAGAGTCTCTGGATTGGATCTCTTGTTACTTCCCTCCGTCTTCCCGGTACCAACCCATATTTATATGGTCGGTACTCCACTATGTAAATTAGGTGGATCGTACCACAAGAGATATATATATATAAAATGCTGTGCATAGCGATTAATGGATTCTTTACTTCAAAAGTATTTCTTATTAATCATCATCGTCATTATCATCAGTACCATGATCGGGTGCGATTGTAATGGACACTGTGCAACTGAGCCCCTAACCAACTCCCCCTCCACACACACATATCTGTCGAAATGCAGTGAAGTATTCATTCATATTCATGCGTAGCCTGTCAAGTGTAAGTAAACCTTCCGAAACCCATCCCTCTCCAGCTCAAACTGTAGCCGATATTTTCCGACTTGAATGTTCGCCTTGTTCAAGGACACGTGGCCGTTGATTCCATCCGTGCAACCTTTCACCCTAGCCTCTAACTTCAGTCCAGGAAGCCCTCCACCCAGCAATACCATGTCATCCCTGCATACATAGCTATGTAACAGAGTTTACCCCCAAATTGTAGATGGCCATTGACCCTAGAAGAAAGTTGATCCATGAAAGGTCTTGTTGGATATCTAACGACCCTCCTCACGGTGGTTGAACCGGTTTAGTCGCCGATAACCTGACCATGCGGCAAGCATTACTGGTTTACATGGTGCCAGTGGCCCTCAGACATAGGTTATTCATTATAATAACCTATTACTATAAACCTTATATTTCGTGAGTTACTTTTTTGAGCAGGCCTCCCCTCGTTTTTTAACTATGAAATTAATGTCAACCGGCCTGGAGATTGGAAAGTCCGACTAAATAAAATAAGCCTTCTGACAGGAATCGTAAGTCGATTCCGATTTTTATCGGGGATACCACATTTTAGCCAAGTGCGCTTTAACCGTTAGGCTACCAGAGGCCTTGATGACAAAGCGGATATCAATTAACCTATTTAAAAAGCACACACATCTCTCTCTTTTGAAGTCTATACATGTTAACTTTATCTTCCTACCAGAAATGTAAACAAAGTAATTGTTAAACAATTAATAGATTTTGCTTTAAATCCAATATTTCTTATTACAATTAACTATATATTTAGGGGATACACGTATCTGAATAGACATACATGTTCTTCTAACTTTTTGGAATTAATGTCAACCATGCTAGAGATCGGGAAGGTGCCCCCGCCCAAAATAATCGTAGCTCTGTTCTCTCTTTATATCAGAGAAAACACTTTTAAGACAAGTCTCCAATACCAACTAGGCATTACTAAACCTACACGCAAGCCACCAATCTGCTACTGAGTGGTATGCCACTAGCGTTTACCGCTTGTGGTCCGCTGTCGGACTGCCGGCATATACGTCTCGGCAATTACCACTGGCGGACCGTTAGAGGCTCACGGTGGCTGCCGCAAGAGGACCGCTGGCGTTGCCATCGGTGGCCCAACATCGGGCCACTAGCGGATTGCGTGTAGGGAAAATAGGGTAAGTGAGCTTTGCTATGTCGTGATGGTTTCTCGAAACACACACACTTACACACACACACACACACACACACACATATGTGTGTGTGTGTGTGTATTTAGGTAGCAATCCTTCTTTCATGCATATTTCATTGAATACGACAGAAAAAGTGCTTTGATTTAGTTTTTTATACAATTTCTCATGCGATCTAATAATTTTTTTTCTTTTCAGATGATAAATTATATAAAAACTGTCAAATCAAAAAAAATAACACACATAATAATATCAACTATGAACATGGACACAATATCTTGACCGCGTTTTGAAAAATGAAAACATTATATAAATAAATACATGCAACAAACTATTTCTTATTTAACAGTCAAAATATTTCATCCTTGAAAATAACTAAATGTATAGCCGAAAGCGCTCGGATTAAAAGAACATTCGAACAGTTTTTCCATTAACCGTATATATATATATATATATATATATATATATATATATATATATATATATTATAATTGTTTTTTTAATATTATTCCATCGCTACACAGGAATTACCATGTTTCAAAAACAGAAGCTAAAAACTTCCAATTCAATTATAGAAATTAAATTAAAGTACCTAGTTCTGTTTCATTTTCAAGCAAATTTTGGAATAAATTATTTTGAAATTTACGGGGCTTCATAAGCACATACATTCATAATATTAGTTTCTATGGAAATGGAGAAAACCAATCATTTTAATTAGGGGCGGTAGGGTATTCATTTTCCCTGACAACTATTGTATCAACATATGAGTTACTATCGAAAAGTTAAGGTAGGGCCGGGGTGTCTTTTTTCAAACGAATGATGACATCCGTTCAACGCATGTAGTCTGGTCTTTTTCAACGACAGAAAGTTTTTCGGCACTTTTGTTTCTCCCTTAAGTTTGTACATAAAGATTTTTTTTCTAATCGGGTTGTTTGTATATGAATACGTCGTATTGAACTTTTTTTTTTAAGCGTTTCACCCCAAGCAAGTCGAGAAGCCACTAGGACGCAAGGGGTTACAGAAAATTTGGAGCAAGATCAGATAGGGGTGAGCGTTGAGCGTTGAGTTGAATGAAAATTTCCGAGCAAAGCATTCAGCCTTGTCGGCAGAGGAGGTCAGGACTTCGAACTGGTTGAACAAAGAAGGTTTGCAATTGTTCAATACGCTCTTGCAGAGACGCCAATAATCTTTGGAGCCAAATTTATGAGATGCAATACGCTCCTTCATCCGAGCAGCAAATAGTGACTTAGCATCGTTGAGGACACGCTTACACTCGTTACGGGCGGAGGCAAAGAGACGTCTATTGCAGTCAGACATGTCGCTACGAAATAGATGAAAGAAGTTGTTCCTATGGGCGATGGCGGCTGAGCAAGCAGCGGAGAACCAGGAGGAGGAGCGCGACTTTACCCTATATTTCCTTGAGGGGATGAAAGCGTCGATTCCAGCTTTAACCCAGGATGAGACCTCAGAAGCCCATTCTTGGACGGTGATCGTAAAGACAACATCCCAGGAGACATCGCGGAGGAAATCACGGAACGCGTCCCAGTCAGCTCGTTGATAGTAGAACGAAGTTCTAGAGGTAGGAGGTTCTTTGCAGGGGGTGGAGTTGAAGGAGATGTTAACAGATACTACCGCATGATCAGAGTTACCAAGAGGACAGAGTTGCGTGGTGCTACAGGACTCAGTGATGGAGGTAAAACACAGATCGAGAAGAGAGGCTTTGTCTTCCCGGTTGAAGGCAAAACGAGTGGGGAAGTTAACTATCTGCGTGAGGGATTGAGAGACTGAAAAATTGAGCGTTTGAATGCCTGCGTGGTCAGTAGTAGCATTCTTAAGCCACATGGTATGATGGGCGTTAAAGTCGCCAAACAGAAATATGTGAGCAAACGGGTGGAGCCTTGTCTATGCTGTCAGAAATGCTATCGAGTATCCCACAGTCTTGAGAGGATGGAGAGCGGTAAAGGAAGAAGAGATAGCTTACCGCATTGGGAAGAGATAGTCGGAGACACATGTACGACTGGTCTGGCGATTCGATAGACAACTCTCTGGCCAGAGGGAGATGGTCTTTGACGTAGACACCAAGGCTGTGCATGTGGGTTAGAGAGTCTTTTCTGAGGAGAAGAAGATAGCCTGGGATCGAGAGATCAGAGGAGGGATAGACGAGACAAGGTTGGTCTCACAGCGAGCCAGTATATCCGGGCAGTTTGCAGTGAGGAAAGATTCCATACTGCAGAAGTTTGTTCTAATGCCACGGATGTTGGAGAACGAAATGTTGAGGGGTTTAGGTGATTTTTGAGTGGCTGGTTTAGGATTACTTTTTCGGTCTTTGTAAGTCATGTGGAATTTTTGTTGGAAGATGAGAAGGCCCGAAGTAAAAGAAGCAGACTGTTATCGACCGTGACGTGGGCAGAGAGGAGTTGGCACAACCTGCATCATAATGTGGCCTCAGGGTTGCCCACCGTAGGTGACTGCAGGGACACCTTTCCATGCGCGACATGGCACTACAATCACCCCGGTATTATACAACTGTTGATTAGAGCGACCGCTCATGACGCTATGCAAGAGTTATGGCTCCTAACTACCAGTCGGAAACAGCAACCAGAGAACTGTCAACCGTGTACCCTCAGAATGAAGAGGCAATGTCACAGACTGCACACATCACGGGAGAAACAGAGCTGCACTAATACAGAGGCCAGAGAGAGAGAGAGAGTACCGGGAACCCCTTCCTAAACAAGAAACAAGGCCTGAGCCTCTACTCATGTCCAAGAGAAGGGGGAGGAGTGTTTACCGGGCGGTAGGAAAGCCTACCTACTCCTATTACATATAACACATACAAGAACGACAAAAACAGAGGGAAGGATAAGAGGGGGAGGTAATTGGCAAAGGGTCCTGGCTGACACGTGGATTTTACCCTTTCGCAACATTAAGTTTTAACTTAGTATAAGTCCCATTGTCTCCCTTTTTTTCTGATTTTTCCTTCGAACTGGGATTTCTAACTAAACCATCAAATAGGTTAGAATGATTAGGACAAAAATGTGTTACTATGGTTAAACACACTGACGAGTAGGGGGAGAAAAAATAAAATAAATAAATAAAAAATAAAATAAAATAAATTTAAAGATTAAAAAAATAAAGAATTAAAAAATAGAGAAAAATGAAAATGAGTTTTCGATAGAGCGAATTTATAATCACACAGGGCAGCAAGTGCCTACTATTTGTTTTTTGTTGACGACTTCTTAAAGGTTTTTTAAGCTTATGATTGGGTTGTGTTTTTAAACTTATTGCTTTAATTGAACTTGTTTGTAGATTTTGAAATTTTAAATTTTTTATGCTAATTATTTAAGGCGAATATTTGTTGGTGTCGGCAAAAAAAACCTCATGTCTTTGATTTAATAAATTTTCGGTTTTAGAAACTTGATGTGTAGTTTTTCATGTAGGCATAAAGGGCATGGGTCATCCCAGGTTTTACAAGTTATGTTCTATTTATTATTTTCCATTTTACTTTAGGTGTTTTATTCATTTCTTTTAAATGCCAAAAATATTTAGATAGGGATGTCTGATTTCTATTTCTAATATTATTGAAGGAGCTTTTGTGTTGTCTCCACCTTATTTTAAATTTATTCTTCGTGTATCCTATATATATCTTTTCAATGTTTGGATTCTCGATGGATGAGATTGTGCATTGGTATACCACAGATTCTATGTGGCATTTATTATCCAACGGGCAATTTTCAGGGTTTCTACAATCACATAATGTTTCATTATTTTTGTCTAATTTAAATTTTGGGGTTTTTATTTATTTGATTTTAGCATGCGTGTTTATTCATTATTTTATTTTTATGTTTTGTTATGATTCTTTCTAGATTTTCAGTGCAGCTGTAACTTAATTTTAGGGTGTTTTTTATTAAAAATCTTGTTAAGTTTTAAATTTGTCAGTAGGAAAGGGTTTTTCAATTAAAGCTAGGAATATTTGTTCTAGCTTATTGCTAACCATTTGGTCGAACGGAGGCGTATACCAAATGATTTTTCTTTTTCTGTTTTTCTTCTGGTTTGTACTATTGTTTTTATATAATTGATGTTAGCGTGTTTGTATCCACTAATTTTTAGAGCTTTGTTGTAAAAAAATGACTGTGTTTCTGGAATTTATATCTTTGCACACACACACAAATATATATATATATATATATATATATATATATATATATATATATATATATATATTCTTGTTCCACCCTTCTGTACGTTTGCGAGACATTGTATCGTCGGAACATCAAACGTCTGGAGCGGTTCCAACAAATGAATCTCCGAAGAAACCTTCGCATCAGTTGGTAGGACCGCATCACCAACAATGAGGTCCTCTATTGCATATCTCTCCCCAGCATCGAGGCTACCATCCTTCAACATAGATTCCGCTGTGAGGGTCACGTGCCTATAATCCGACCCACTCGGCTCCCACGTATCATCCTTTTTGGAGAACTCGCCAAAGGCTAGAGGTTACGCAGAGGCCCAGAACGTCTCTTCAATGATCAGTTAAAAACATCCCTAACACAGGCCAACATCGAACCTAAGACCTGAGAAACCGTTGTTGTAAATCGGCCTTCCTGGCGTATGTCTACCTGGGATAGGAGACCAAAATTTTCGAGTCCAACTGTCAACATGAAGAGGATCTGCGTCGTGTTGTCATGAGGACCCGACTCGCCCAGCTACCTCTACCACCCACAGTCTTCTGTGACTCGTGCTCGCGACTCTTCAGGAGTAAGCAAAGGCCTTCATAGCAATCTCCGCCACCAGAAGGAGAAAAAGAATAAAGAGAGTGACGAGCTGGTGCCGATTTATATATATATATATATATATATATATATATATATATATATATATATATATATATATATATATATATATAGATGCTCCGTTTATTTATTAAACAATATATTTATTTTCATCTACCGACTATCATCCGCTAATCTTCTTCGTGGCCGAATCGGTTAAGGTACGTTGGAGTTAAGGACGGTTACCTTCTGCCCAGGGGGAGACGAGTTCGAATCCTGCTGGAGAGCGCGTACTTTTTTTAATAAGATTTCTCGAATATTCAGGCAGGCAGATGAAAATAAATAAATATGCTGTTTAGTAAATAAACGGAACTTCTACTGAAATATCAGTATCCCCTAAAAATGAAGTTTAAAGGGTTAACAATCTGTCGGATTAATAAATAAAAATCCATTACTTCATATATATAATATAAAGTGTTGATGGTCATGCGCACGCCTTCACCACTATAATCAAATCCTATATGTGGGTTTTCTGACAACTTTCATCATCTCAGTTTTACACATTTACTTGCATCGTCCTCTGGTGAGAGAGTTAATGCGGTTTGGACAGGTAAAAGAAATTTCTGGAAGTCTTTAGCTGGAGCTCTACACAAATGCGACCACTGAGTAAGGGTCATTCTAGCACAATCTCGTTAGCAACTATGCTGATCATGTCCTCCAGGGGTGACAAAGCATGTGTATTTAGATAAAGCAATGCTTTCCCCAATACGGAGAGAGGGATAGAAAATTAAACCTAAACATTGCTTACTGATAGTCTCAACTTGGCAGCCAGCTGTAGCTGTCTGGTTATCTTGTATTGCAGTCCGAAAAAGACGAAATGTCAGAAATTGAACCTTAGCTCTTGGAATGTATGCACACTTCAAGACCGTGACTCGGCACCAGAAGGTAAAGCAGTAATAGTTTCCCTTGAGCTGAAGAAGTACCGCATTGACCTAGGTACCCTCAATGAAACCCGTCTTGATCGCTCATCGCAACTTGAAGAAGCGGAAGGAGGTTATTTATTTTTCGATGTCTGGCAAGAGCGCGAATGAGACCCGCCAGTCAGCTGTTGGCTTTGCAATCCAGTCTCATCTTGCAAGGAAACTGAGCTCACTTTCAAAAGGCCTCTCAAACCATATCATAACGCTGACACTTGATCTGGATCGTAACATAAAAACGCTACACTTATTAGTGGATACACATCCGCAATGAACAGCAGTGTGCAAGAGAAAGATGGCTTCTACAAAAACCTCCGTAATATCATCTCCCACGTTCAACATAGGAATAAACTTATTCTAATGGGGGGGGGCTTCAATGCTTGGGTAGATAACGATCACTAGGTTTGGGATGGTGTGCTGGCTCATCATTGTGCCGGATGTATGAACTCCATCGGCCTTCACCTCATTTCTATTTGCAGAGAATTCAATCTTGTAATCACCAACATCTATTCTCAGCAACCCAAACTGCAGCACGACATCGTGGATTCATCCTTGATCAAAAAACGGGCACCTTATTGACTATGTCATCACCAAGAGGAGAGACTTAAAGGCACACGTGCCTTTCTGACCATGCACCCCTTCGGAGTAGGGCTTCCTTTCGGCTTGCTCACAGGAGAGTGCAGAAAACATCTGTGCCTAAACGAATAACTACCAGAAAAACAAAGTGAGCTCTTCAGCAAGCTGGATACTTGTTATACCTGACGTACCTATTCTATTATTAATAGATTTTCCCACACATAATAAGTAGTAGTAGTAGTAACGGTCGACAGTTGGGCTCAGTGGAGTTCAGTGACTCAGTCGATGTCGGACATTGAAGTATCAACCATCACAACTAGATTGCTGCGTCATTAACTCTTATTTCAAGTTCCTAACGTTTTGTACGTCGGACCCTTTTTAGGACCGACTTAGTGAAATACAAGCCTCCACTGTGAAAACTACTCTACAACAATACTGCTTTCAATGCCCTTAACATTACTAATGATATCGAATCGTCATGGAAAACGCTTCGATATACAGTACATATTGCTTCTTTGGATGGCTCTCGGACTGTCGCCGCTTTGGAAATACTAGGACCGGTTTGATGAAAGCAACGCTGAGGTCCAGCTACTCGTAGAGCAAATGCACAGCTCACACAAAGCATGGATTAATGATAAAAACTCTTCTGTAAAGTAGGCTCAGTACCTAAAGTGAAAAAGTGGGGTTCAGTAATCTCTCAGGAAAATGAAGGACTGGTGGTCTGCAAAGGCTACAGAACTTCAGGAAGCAGCAGATAGGTAGGACTTCTTTGATGGTCTTAAGAAGATCTATGGTTCTAGAAAGAATGGAATCATGTCAGTACTCTCCTCAAATGGACATATGCTTTCAGGAAAATGAAGGAGGACTGGTGGTCTGCAAAGGCTACTTCAGGAAGCTGCCTATAGGAAGCACTTCAAGTCTTTTTTTGATGGTCTTAAGAAGATCTATGGTCCTAGAGAGAACGGAGTCACACCACTACTCTCCTCAAATGGATATACGCTTCTGTCAGACATGTCTGATATCTAGCGCCGCTGGAAGTAGCGCTTCAAGTCTGTTTTAAACACACCATCCGTCTCTGAGGTAGACGTTATTGAAATCATTTTCCCAAAGTCATGAAATAAAAGAACTTTTCGAGCTAACTTTGCAGGAAGTCTTGGACTCCATCAAACAAATCTCTTCAGACAAAGCACCAGGAAATGATACTATTTTGCTCGAAATCTACAAGTATGTTAGTAAAAAGTTAGTCCAAAAGCTACACAAGTTCTTCAACGTAATATAGAGGGAAGGCTATGTTCCTCAAGGCTAAAAGGATGCCTTAATTAAACACCTATACACGAACAAAGGTAACAGAAATGTTTGTGGCAACTATCGTGCAATATCTCTGCTGTCAATTGGTAGTAAAATATTAGCTAAACTGATTCTGAACAGGATTATCAAGTACGTCGTTAAAATTTACCCGGAATCACAGTGTGGTTTCAGGACCGGTCGGGGCACTATTAACATGATCTTCTCACTCCATCAGGTCACCGAAAAAGTGCGTAAAATGAACCAGGGGTTGTTTCTGGTGTTTGCTGACCTTAAGACACTGTAAATCGTGAAGCACTCTGGGAAATTCTTAAAAAGCTTGGAATCCCAAACGAGGAGGCGAAAGCTGCTGATGGGAAATTTTCTGATTCCTTTGATGTTACAAATGGCACGAAGGCTGTGTCTTGACCCCTGTTCTCTTTGTGCTATTCTTTTCAGTAACGCTCAAATACGCCTTTGGTGACATGGACACGGGGATTAAAATTCAATTTCGAACAAGTGGTGACCTTTTAGACCATCAACAGATCAAAGCTAAACTTATTCGAACTAGCATCATTCGTGTTTGTTAATGATACTGCACTTGTGGCAATATCCCTAGAGGAAGCCCATGGACTCGTCAACCGTTTCTCTGTTCCATGCAAAGCTTTTGACATTACTATTAGCATAAAGAAAACGGCGGTAACTCATCAGACACCTCGTCGTTCTAAGCAGATTTGGAGTGTCAGACAACTTCTACCAGTTCATCAATTCCTAGACACACCAATACAGATTGATGGGAAGAACTTGAAGTATGTGAAGTCATTTACATATTTAGGAAGCAAGATGAATGCAAATAAATTTCTAGATGATGACTTAACAAATAAGATCATCAGAGCTACAAATGCATGTGGGAAGCTTCGCCACTGCCTATGGATTAAGAGCGGTATCAAATTGGACACCAGCATACAGCTTTATAAAGTAGCCGTTTTGACCATACTATTGTACGGCTCAGAATCGTGAACCACATATAGATCCCATATCAATTAACTGGATCGCTTCCATAAAAGTTTTCCCCGCGCGATCTGTGGTTATACTTTCGACGATAGGGTGTCCAATGCTGATCCGGCAAGATGCAATAATGGTGGAATTGGGCCATTCCGGATGCAGTCTCAACTTCACTGGGACGTTCCTGTTGCAAGGATGAGTAACGACAGAATAGCTATGACCCTTATATATAGCCAGCTAGACAGTGGACAAAGGACTATCGAAGGGCCGTGGCTCAGGTATAAAGACAAGCTAAAGAGTAACCTGTCAATGTGCCTCATACTAAGTTTGAGCGAGTTGCCCTAGATAAGAAATAACTTGAGATATTTGTGCCAAAGTGAAATCAGAAATTTCGAAAGCAGTCGTACTAACCGGATAAGAGACGAAAGACAACGACGAAAAGCGTCAACAAATATTTCTGTGGCTATGTCCCGGGATCCTCACTGTTGCACAATATGTCGACTTGTATACAAGGTCACTAGTGGGACTGAAGTGTCACATATGACACAAACATAAAAACTGAATTAGGTTGTCGGATCCTCATTGCGTCGAAATCGACGGTAGAGTCCATCATATATATATATATATATATATATATATATATATATATATGTATGTATGTATCTATCTATCTATCTATCTCTCTATATATATAGGTAGATAGATACACACAGACACACACATATATATGTATGTATGTATATATACTTATATATATATATAGAGATAGATAGATAGATAGATAGATATAAGA